GCACTTCTTACTCACCAACATCATGTTGAAGAGCCCATTTTAGGAGCACTTGAGCTGTGGACTTATTGTAATTTGCAGCTATAGAGCATACTGTAGGTTCATCTAGGAGCTTTGAGAACAAAACGATTATCTCAATAATAATCATTATAATTTGAAATTATGTCAAAATCACCAAGAGGAGTTCACAGATTTTCCTCAATCCCAAATTGTGGTTGTCCCTAAAGAGAAAATTGTCATATGCATGCATGATGACCCCCATTGTGTAATTTTCTCAAAAGTGACAACTGGAGAATAATCAAGTTTGCATGTTCTTAAGGCTACAGTGAGCTGCAGTTTGCTTGGTGAAACCATTTTTGTACATTGCAGGTATGTTAAAAGTCAATAGAATCTTTCATGTCAACCAAGGTTGCACATACATGCTGTTGCTTTACAACAGGCCCCTTCAAAATTCATGGTCACAAAACAAAATGGATGTCCAATGGCCATAAAGCTAAATGGCATACCTTTCCTTGGCCCAAGGATGTGTATGCTTGCAGCTGAATTCCTTTTCTTTTGCAGTATTCCAACAACTCTTTCTGGTAAAGCCTTGGATGGAATTCTACCTGCACAAATATTCATGTATATGAAACATGCATGTGAAGAGATTTTTCTAGTGATAAAGACTTTGCACATGCCACAATCGGCTTAACAACTAATCTGAAACATAATTTGGGGATGGTAATACATTCAAATATACCTTTTGCTATCTTCCTATATAATAAATGGAATGTTACATGGCTGCTTGGAGATGCAAAATTTCGCTCTCGTGTTGAACAATATTTCACTCGTTTGCTGTGCACACTCATGAAATATTTTTCAACATTTGCAGAGAAATTGCGTGTCTTTGTGCAGCCATGTACAGTCTATCCTCTATATCTTTTAAACTATGATTCCAGAGCAGGAAAACAATATTTTTGATTGAATAGTAGGGGTGACAAATGGCAAAATCCTAGATTTGATAGGACACCAAGACCCTTGTTTGAAAATCTCAGATTAACTGATAACAATAAAATAAGAAAAGATGCCAGAAGCAACACTTTGTGACTCACCACAAAGGATTACAAGATTTTGAGATTGGATAAAAGTGCAAAAGACTCTAAATTTTCTAGGCACCATTGTATTGTTCCAGAAAATATCTATACTCCTCCAGTGGATGGTTTTGGTTTGAACCCCCATCCCTCTGGAAATTCCAGTTTTGGCTTTTGAAATAACCTTCCCCGGGGTGCGTAGGGATATTTTCCAGAACCACACATTTGCCACCTCCAATTTTCGCTGACAACAATATGTTACTACGAGCAGTGGTAAACGATCCAGTGTTCCAGGGTGGCTGTAGCCAATATGAGGCAAACTGAGTCACTCTCCTCAGTAATGTTTTCGTTTTTGATGGGGGAAAGTAAAACATGTGCTAAATACCTGTAGGAAGAGAATTTGACCAAGGGCATTGTCTCAGTCATACTTTTTTCTGGTTATGGCCTTAGTTTTAGTACCTGTAATACAGCAGGAGTGATCATGGCATAGTCAAGAAGTTCTTCCAGGTGATCTATAGTGTAGTTGGATACTCCTATTGACTTAATTAAACCTGGAAAACAATAAATGTTAAATGAATTATTAATAGGTGCTTCTCTGGAAAATTAGTTGGCCGACTGATTTCTCAGGAAATTGTTTTTATTTCCCCATATAAGAGCTGTCAAAAGATGTCTAAGACTACCCAGCAGCTTTCTGGAGTAAATAAGAACAAAACAATTTACATCACTTGTTATTTAACAAGAGTGTACTAAAAGACCATCTTAAACACAAAATTAAAAAAGAACAACAACAAGGCTCAGAAGCAATTATTTAAAAACAAAATGATTTACCAAAACATGCTTAATAATTATTTTATGGAAATTTATTATGTCATGCTGTAGATTTTTTTTTTAAAATTAAATTCCCCTAAATGTTGAAAACCAAAATTGCTAACCAGCTTCACAGAGCTTCTCTAAAGCCTTCCAACTTTCCTGTCTGAGTTCTGCATTCCTTGGATCTTCACTCTTCAGTTTCTGAACACCAGGCCAGTGAATAAGATGCAGGTCAAGATATTCACAGTCCAAAGTCTGCAAAGACTTCATACAAGCCTTTTCTGCACTATCAAAGCCATGGTCTCTTGGGGCTAGAGAGATAATTTTAATTAGTTATTAAATATTAAATGCCTTATTTTTTTATAAATTCAGACTAGAAACATGARAAGTCYAGGAGGATAATAGATYATTTAGSTTTATGTATATACAAAAGTAYGCCTGTTGATTCAGACRACAAACTTGATTTGCCGAACTTTATTTAGTTTGAACCAAATCACATCSAAATGTCAGYAATTTTCAGGCAGAGTGTAAACTGCTTGTAGAATATGTTATAACATTTTAACAATTTATGCATTGGGTTTGRCATATGAGAAGTTCGACATCTGAATCAAAGCCGTTCCAAAGCTGAAATTCCCGGCTGAGCTATTGTAGGTGAGAAGAACTGCTGAGCCGATCCAAATTCAAATAACCATTCTTACAATGTAACTGATTCAGAAGCTGAACTTTTCATGAACTTAATTCAACATATTAGGTTTAGCTCATGAAAAGTTTGGCTTCTGAACTGGACTTATGTTACCATATATTGTTAGTTTATGTTCAAAGCACTCACACAGTTTACTCGTTATGAAGATATCAGCCCTGGACAGACCATACTTGGGCAAAATCTGTTTCAGTGAGTGTCCAATGTCTGCTTCATTACGGTATACAGCAGCTGTATCTATAATTTAATGAAAAACATTAAGTTAAACATTAACATTATCAGTGACTGACATATATGATAAAAGTAACTTTCTTCCCTTCAATATAAGGTTTTTACTATTGAGTCACCAATGGTTACGTCATGCTGGGTTACGCATGATTACTTATCAAGATGCAGTCAAGTTCCATCATCACTAAAAAAGAATCAGGCCAATATCCAGCCATCTTAACTGAATAAGATTTAAGTCGCTAAAAGATTTATTAGAAAACTGCAGCAAATTCCAGGCACACAAGATGCCCAATGTTGTTTTTTAGGTAGCCAATCACTTTAGGATTTGGTTCATCTTGCCGGCTCACAGAGCTAGCTATAATAAACTTAAGATAGAGGGGCCAAGACAGAAAGCCCTAGCCATTTTTATGCAGGTCCTGGTTTAATTGGAATTGAATTTAGAAATGTTGGTTGTCTTTTTCAGGAAGCAGGAAAAACTGAATTATACTGACTCAGAGAGAAAACTTGAAATTAAGGAGACATCCAACAACAACATACTCAACACACAACCAGGACAAAACAAACCCATTGCACATCGGTTGATTGCAAGTGCTCTCACTGCTACGCTATTCCTCCTACTATTTTCCACCCCATACCTCTATCAACTCACCTACGAGTCTGTAGCCACACTGAATAGCAGTATCAAGAGTCCTGTGTATTACATCATCCCCTTCTACTTGTCTCATTTGAAATGTTCCAACTGTGAAAAAAAAGTATTGCTTGTCTAGTTAAAACATTAAAATAGCAATGATTATTGCTAAGGGGTGCTGCATTAAAATCCCTCACCAGGCTTTAACCTTGACAGCAGAGTCTTCCTCAATCGTCCAAGAAAAATCAATACACCTTTCAATAAAGTTTTGAAAATTTAAGGTGGCTCTGAACGCCAAACACAGATTTATTTTTACTTTTGTGAAAAGGTGCATCTTATCATGCTTATAACAATTTGATAATAAAAAATAGGTAGACCAAGCTTGTTTTTGAGTTATAAGCCACTTAATTTAAAATTAAGGGTGTTTTTAACTGGTTGTACTGTTGCCATAGGGTATTAAACTATTATGCCATAGAGATTATGCACTTATCATTGTCCTTCCTGGGGGTTGACCCCTGGGACATCCCTGGGGATTTGTTTTCAGAATCAGATAAAAACCTCCTAAATCCCTAAGGTATAGGGTATAAAATTCACACCAGTTTCCTCTAACCTGGAGGCTAAGTTGAAGACAGAATACCTTCATTTACAATAATAAGACAAATTTGTTGATTTTTTTTTCGTTCTCTTCTTCAATCTTTGTAACTGTCGGTAATTACAGACTTTATTTTTCCTTGTACCATGTCCAAGGCTTTGAACAACGTCACGATGCAACAAACACTGAAGACCTTCATGAAATGCCATACAAATGGCAGCAAGGTCGCTCATCTACATGTTCATCTGGGATTTTGAAAGTGAAGTAAAGCTGACCAATCTCAAACATATCCGGTTGATGCATCCCAGGGATTTGGTGCATTTGGTTCAAAAACCAAACAATGTCCCTACCATCGGGAACATTTTTATAGAAAAATGCACTATTTCCCCGCATGTTGCCAGGATTTCCCCAGGGGTGTCCTGGGGGTTGACCCCCCGGGAAAGCCAATGATAAGTGCATTACCATTATTGGTTCACCAAAGGCTGAGCATTTATGTCATACCAATATTGTAGCATCACTTGATAAACTGTGGTAGTATTGATCCGTCAAAGCATAGCTGTTGAAAAAGTGCTGGAAACTGCTGCCAGCCTTCCTGAGATTAAACTTAAGCTTAAATACAGTTAAATATCGACTAAATATTGCATATCCATTTCATGTCAAGCAAACTTTTTACTCACGTCCAATGGCTGGAATATGTCGGCCATCGTTCAGAGTACGAACTGGCAACATGCTCAAAGAGTTATGATCTGTGTTAGGTGACACTGCCGTAGATTAAGCGATCGGGTCATTTCAGACACCTCATTCGAGACATTTCCACAAAATTCAGGCAAAATTCAAAACAAAGATTTTTCAGCGATCTCCCACAGAAAAGCATGTGCAGGAGATGAGCCCATAAATATGAACTGTTCAGCGGGTGACCCCAGTAAGCGGGAAAATCAAGAGGATATAACGTGACGATTGTCACTCATTGCACATTTGCATGCGGGACGCATGGATGGTTTTTACACCTTTTACGAAGACAGAATTCCCAAAGTGTCGCTAACAATGTAAGGTGAGTACACCAAACTTGTTATTTTCTAGATTTCTTCGGAAAATCCGCGAGGAAACTCCGTCGAATTCGTCTGCCGTGGCTTCCTGTCTAAGCTCTAACCAAACAACGGACCTCGTGTTGAGACAAAAGTTAACCAAAACATGATTTTATTGTTTATGAACAGAGCGATGCTCTGATAAGCGTTCGTTTTTCGCCACCTTGCATCCCTTTTGGTGTGTTTTGTCCATTTTGAGGCTCTTGTCTAGCTTGATATGAGCTTCGTTTTTCCTTTACGGCGGCCATCCTTTTGTCGTCGTTAAGACAGCTAAGAGGAACCTGGTTGTTTCCGGTGACGGGAAATGAAAAACATAAATCCCAAAGAAACAATGCTTGGTTAACTGTATGAATTACTGAAAAGTTATGGCAAAGAATGAACAATTTTGGCAGGTGTAAACTTCGAAAATGGTCACACGGCCAAAGGGTGTCTCAAATACAGTTCACTTCCGCCGTCAAGATAACCTAATTTGCGTAGTCTAGTGAAGCTTATTGCCAACCTGTCGGCCGCCGGTTTTTAGCGATAGGAACAAAAGTGCCTTTCGCATCACGTTTACAAACTAGAAGAATATTATTTCTTTCAATCTTATCTGCATAAAGGAGCTTGTATGGTTAGGTTGCAGAATAATGAGTAATGACAAATGAATTTTTTAATAACCGGTATTTTCATAACTTTAGCATTCGTATCTCCCTCAGTAATATTTTCCGGTCTTTTCTGATTAAGAAGCTTCTCTAAATTCTCAAATTAAAGCACATGAATCTTTGCTATTATTGTCTAAAAGCGTTTTAGCTGTGCGAATTTAAAAGAAGCATTTCAGTCGGGAAAAATCTTTACAATGTTTATAGCATGCAATATCCACACGTCCGTATTTCCACAACCGGAAATACGTAATATGCTCTCTTTGATGTACGTAAGTAGCTTAGGGAGCACAGAATAGCTGCTGGTCTCGGTATAGTGAGCAGAGCAATGGGTGAATGCGGGATTTATTTTCTGGTGCGGGATAACAGCCACAGACAATGAAACGTGTTTCACTGTCGCTACAGCATCTGTAGCAGAGAACTGGCAACATGCTCAAAGAGTTATGATCTGTGTTAGGTGACACTGCCGTAGATTAAGCGATCGGGTCATTTCAGACACCTCATTCGAGACATTTCCACAAAATTCAGGCAAAATTCAAAACAAAGATTTTTCAGCGATCTCCCACAGAAAAGCATGTGCAGGAGATGAGCCCATAAATATGAACTGTTCAGCGGGTGACCCCAGTAAGCGGGAAAATCAAGAGGATATAACGTGACGATTGTCACTCATTGCACATTTGCATGCGGGACGCATGGATGGTTTTTACACCTTTTACGAAGACAGAATTCCCAAAGTGTCGCTAACAATGTAAGGTGAGTACACCAAACTTGTTATTTTCTAGATTTCTTCGGAAAATCCGCGAGGAAACTCCGTCGAATTCGTCTGCCGTGGCTTCCTGTCTAAGCTCTAACCAAACAACGGACCTCGTGTTGAGACAAAAGTTAACCAAAACATGATTTTATTGTTTATGAACAGAGCGATGCTCTGATAAGCGTTCGTTTTTCGCCACCTTGCATCCCTTTTGGTGTGTTTTGTCCATTTTGAGGCTCTTGTCTAGCTTGATATGAGCTTCGTTTTTCCTTTACGGCGGCCATCCTTTTGTCGTCGTTAAGACAGCTAAGAGGAACCTGGTTGTTTCCGGTGACGGGAAATGAAAAACATAAATCCCAAAGAAACAATGCTTGGTTAACTGTATGAATTACTGAAAAGTTATGGCAAAGAATGAACAATTTTGGCAGGTGTAAACTTCGAAAATGGTCACACGGCCAAAGGGTGTCTCAAATACAGTTCACTTCCGCCGTCAAGATAACCTAATTTGCGTAGTCTAGTGAAGCTTATTGCCAACCTGTCGGCCGCCGGTTTTTAGCGATAGGAACAAAAGTGCCTTTCGCATCACGTTTACAAACTAGAAGAATATTATTTCTTTCAATCTTATCTGCATAAAGGAGCTTGTATGGTTAGGTTGCAGAATAATGAGTAATGACAAATGAATTTTTTAATAACCGGTATTTTCATAACTTTAGCATTCGTATCTCCCTCAGTAATATTTTCCGGTCTTTTCTGATTAAGAAGCTTCTCTAAATTCTCAAATTAAAGCACATGAATCTTTGCTATTATTGTCTAAAAGCGTTTTAGCTGTGCGAATTTAAAAGAAGCATTTCAGTCGGGAAAAATCTTTACAATGTTTATAGCATGCAATATCCACACGTCCGTATTTCCACAACCGGAAATACGTAATATGCTCTCTTTGATGTACGTAAGTAGCTTAGGGAGCACAGAATAGCTGCTGGTCTCGGTATAGTGAGCAGAGCAATGGGTGAATGCGGGATTTATTTTCTGGTGCGGGATAACAGCCACAGACAATGAAACGTGTTTCACTGTCGCTACAGCATCTGTAGCAGAGTGAATTAGCTCTGCAAGCTGCCACTGCCCGCTATTTCTGTGTAGTACAGGTATTAAACTTCATGTTACTTCCTACAATATCGCCTACTCTCTACGCAGACATTCGTCTGTTACGTGATCAACGTCTCCACGCGAGGCTCCCGCCAAAGAACCCAAATTATAAAGTAAACTGTCAACTATTCAACACCTACTTGTCTGCCGTTTGAAGCGAAGATGGCAGAATGAACTGTGAAGCAAGATTATGGTTAGCATACGAATCATTTTAAAAACCCTTCCAGTGCTAAATCTTTACTGACACAGTTCAAACCTTGAAGGTCAGGAACGAAGTATTTGCAAGACTTCAAAGGAAAGGTATCGAGCAGTTTTTTCATGTGATGCATGTGGTACCATCGTCTATGCTGTCAAATCGTTATCTAACTCAGTTTAAGATTCTCAGTTTGAGTTTTTGAATGAAACTCTCTTACGATCATTCATTCATTCACTCATTCATTTATTTGCATTGCTCCTGTGCCGTGTTTTCACGAGGTACTGTTTGTTTTTCAAACTACTTCAGACACCCCGACAAAAATACGATCCGGGCCAAACGAGAAATCTCAGCGACTCTTATAAGCATGGGCAAACGAAATAATCGCGACTTGAGAAAAATTTGGCTAATTTCATGTCATTGAGAGTGTGTCTCCATTCTCGTTTTGGTTCCGGCGAGGATATTACTGATATGCGGAAAATGTTTTGCGAATTCATACTTCGAGTTTGGAACCAAAAGAGTTAAAAATAGAACGAAAAACAGCCTGACTAAAAATGTATTTACCGGTTCGAAACACAAACTTGTCTCAACACGGAACGCGCTTACAAGTTCCTGTTTTTACAAGACTGAAACTTCCCGTAGGGAACTTCCAGTGCTGATTGAGCAATACGAAACGCCCTCGGAGTTCTGATATTATAACGCCCTTCCATCCTTTTAAAAATTTCTAAGTTATAAACAATTTCTTGCGCAATGCGGAAATGTAGACCAGTTGGTGTTTTAATTTTTACCGTTAAATTTGAGAAGAGTGCAAAACATTGCCGAAAGTGCACTACTTGTGTAAATATCCGATGTGAAACAATTTGCTTAGAAATTTGTTTTTGGACCACCGCCGTGACTAATTGAGTAAAGTAAGTAATAAATGTTAACGTCAATAACACGAAGACTGCCTGCGCAATCTCCCGAGCTGTGCTGCACAATAATAATAAAATGCTGATGAAATCAACCGCGGAGTTTAGAGTACATGTAAGTTAAATAATAAATTAATACACGTAGCTCAGCTAAATAAATTACAAGTAAAAGAGTTAAGATGCACGGTGGAAGATTTTATTGACCAAATTTCTGAGCTGCAAAAAAGTTAACTACAGCAATAGAATCAAACTCTTTGTCCACAAAATTACAAACTGCTCGCAAATTTCGTAATTATTCATGATTCAATATTGGACAAATTGCCAGATAGCCGCGAGCGCTGCGCATACGATATACAATCAACCTGCAGAAGGCTGACACAACAAAACATAGAGCAAGGTATTATGAGAACTTCCTTTTTATCTAACTGAAATACCTTGCTATGCTTGCTCCGCTTGTCAAAACTAGACGATCCATGCGTCAAAATACATGTTTCGTCCAATCTTGACATAATGCCTTTGAATTCTAGTCAGCGTTCGCTTTGAATTTAAAGCCCCGGCCAAACCGACTGGCAAGCTGTCGCAAGTAGCCACAACTGACTCACAACTGAGTTTCCTCGCAGGTACACGCAAGTTCACGCAAGTCGCAAAAAAAACCAACAACTTTTCAAGGCTACATATCCTGTAATTCATTGGCAAACAGGTTGAACGTCACTCAACTTGGGTTGGGTAGCGAAACTGCGTCGACTTGCGAGCAAAATTTTATCTCGACCAAAGTGAGCACAAGTCATCGCAAGTCAACCCAAGTGCACGCAAGGCCTGGCCAAGCGGAGTCGCAAGTAGACCCAAAATTTCAACTTGCGTCTAGTAGCGTATCCGTTTGGCCAGGGCTTATGAGTACTTGGTAATTTGAACTTTTGTATTTTATTGACTATTTGTAAACATTGTCTTTATTTTGGGTGCATAATAAGTTATTTTTGGAGAGCAATTTTTCAACGCCTGACAAAAGGGAAGTGTAAAGTTTTATCGGTATTCAAAAAAAGTTATATTGTATGGAGAACTGTTGTGGTCTCTCTGGGTTGGTATTCAGATGTTTTTGACAGTTTTAGCATAGTTACTAGAGGGAAATGGTTAGGAAACCTGGCAAAGTTCTTTGTTGTATGTTTTTGTTGGCTATTTTGGGGTTTGACCCTTCACAAAACCTGGCAAAATACAAAAGGTGGTCATGTGTGTTCATGCAACTAACCAATAAAAGCATTGATTGCGATTATGCAATTCATGCATAGTCAATGAGCATAAAACTAAAGATGTGCAGGGTCAAGGACCTTCCAAAATAGGTCTTAGCCTGTTTGTTTGCTTCTATGGTGTTTACCGGCCTTCTTAACCATTTCCCTCTATTAACTATGGCTTGAGTAACGGATCAAGTACACCTTGTCAGTTGTTTGGCTAATGCTGTTCGGACCATGGAGCTTCAAAATTGACAGCCAAAGCAGAACATATTGTTTTGACGTCATGCCGAAAAAACAATAAGGCAACCTCGTTCTCAGGGCCCTCTCTCTTCCTTCCTGTCCGGGAACGAGGTTGATAGCACGGTGCTCTTACGATTGGAGAAAAGCCGGAAAGTACTCGGGTTCTATGGGGAGGGTCTGCAAGCGGTCCTTACAGATTTTCTAGACTGAGGAGGAGAACACAAAAACTGAGCGAGCGAGCGAGCGCGATACTCGAGCGGCGAGCGTTGAAGCCGTTAGTCGCGAATATCGCGGGCCTTTCTCTCAGTTTACCCCGGGGAAATTTAGAGCAAACAAGAGACTAATCGCAGTCTCGGGTGTTGAAGGATCTCTGGAAATAATTTTTCTTAAGATCCTGGACATGAATGTTTTCTAAAAGATCTTCCTTAAAGTATCCTCATGGAAAGATCCCCATCTCTGGGAGATCTTTGAGGACCCTGCAAGGTTTTTCCTCATGAAGTTAGTGCTTAATTTTAAAACATGTGAACTATCCCTTTAAATTGTTCAACAGCCGTTGACGATCTTTCGAGTGATGCCGAAACGAAAGCGTGGATTGTTGAAGCAACCTTGCAATTCGAGCCGAGTCTCCTCGTCCACCGCTGTCGCGAAGCCAAGAGATGAGGAAGAGGGCGTGTCCATATGGGTGCAATGCGAGAACGAAAGCTGCCAAAAATGGCGCCAAATCTCCACCGAGGAGGCCAAGGGTCTGGAGGACAGCGCGTGGTACTGCTGGCTCAATCGTGACCCTCGCTATAACACGTGTTCTGCTGTGGAACAGAAAGCTAAGAAACCCAAACACATGAAGTTCATATACAGTCTTCTTCCCCTAGGGGATGTGGTCATGGCAAAATTGTCAGGATATCCGCCGTGAGTGTTGAAGTGTTTTGTTTCTGGTTGTTATATTTTTTTCCTCTGCATGGTCGTCCTTTTATTGGTGGGGTTTTGGGGGAAAATAAAAATAGTGGATAGTCCATATATTTGATAACAATCCTCCCCGCTTACTTCCGAATTTTTCCTGCTTTTTCCTGTATTGTCTGAGGGCACCTCAACCCTCGTTGATCCTAAGGGAACTTTAGGAACTCATCTCTGCTACAAGTAATTAAGAGGTTGATCACGCCCTTCTTGTGGTAAATGCCTCCCTTGGCAAATTCTTGTCGCTTTTTTTTTTTCCAAAATAGATAGTTTGACTCTTTTCTCCCTATCGATTGTAATGCAGTTGGCCAGGTTTACTCACCCGTGATCCTACTTGCGGCGAGTACTACGACGCACCGCTGGTCAAAGAGAATGAAATCACGCATTACCACGTGGAGTTCTTCGGGCAGCCCCGTTCTCGTGCGTGGCTAGTGCCAGCCCGCGTGCATCCGCTACGTTCCATGAACGAGGCTGAAAAAGCGCCCCAGTTCCGGAAGATTCAGGGGCGGCAACTGATCGAACTCAAGAAATCTTACGAATTCGCGCTTAAAGAAGCGCAGAGTTCGTTAAACAAGACTTCGGAGCAGAGGCTGGAAACGTGCCACTTCAAATATGTCGACGGTGAGTTGATCTTGTGATAAACGTCTTATTTCTTCTTATAATAGGAGATTTCGTCACTAATGAGTATCTATCTCGTATTTCACAGAGGAAGAGAAACCGGTAGATTCCGCAGTTTGGAGCGAGCGAGTTCCAGTTGAAAGTGTACAAGAACCTGCGAGAATTCCTGCACGCCGCAATACAGACACGCCCTTGAATTCACCAACCATTCCAGTTATGACGAGTAAAAACCGTGTGTATGACACAGGAAACGTGTCACAGCTTGACAACAAGGTATTTAACGCGAAGAGACCATTGCACTAAGAGACAATGCGTTTATTAATAACCCCGCTTCTTACGTCAGTTAAGCTAAAAAAAAAAAAAAGACTAAAAAGATAATGAATGATATGTGCGTTGTAATCAGAGAAGCCTGACATCGAGCCACCAATAAGTGCATGTTATCGTCCAAATCTTAATATCTCCGAATCAATGCACTTGGAATACTTATAAACCTTCGCAGCTTTTTTTTTTGTTTTTGCTGCCTTTTTTACAGGTTTGTTGACCAAGAAAAAAAAACAACATACGCATTCGCACTAAGAAGTTGATAATTCGCGCCTTTTGTATGGAAAATTGTCTCAACAAAATGGCGCTACATAACAGCACCTCACTATGTGTGCGTCTGTTACTTACGTGCTAGTAAAAAATAGTCTTTGTGCTAAAACTTAACTGTACGAGCAGGATTTTCTTTCTGTGTTTCCTGTTAACAGGAAAACGATTTCCTAGAGTATTTACAATCTTTTTCGCTGGAGAGAGGCGTCACTGTACCCAAAGAACCAGTGTGGCGAGGGAAACGAATCAACATCTTCAGATTCTACAACTTAGTACAACAACATGGCGGATTTGAAAATGTGAGTAAAATGTAATGTAGGGAGTCGACAGGAGAGCCGGGGGACTAATGACTAGCGCGCTGGAGTCTGGATCGAGCAGTTTGGGTTCAAGCCCTGGCTGGGGTGTTTGCTTCGTGTTCTTGGGCAAAACACTTTACTCCCGCAGTTCCTCTTTCTACCCAGATGTGTAAATGGGTACCGGCCAAATTTTTAGGGGAGCCCAACGAAATCCCTGGGGCTAAACTGCCATGGAATAGCATCCCATACAGGGGGAATTAAAGATACTCCCAGGGATAACGGTTAAGCTTCGGCAGTGCGGGCTAGTGGCCAGAATGTGTTTAACTGAGCTTTTTCTGAAAAGTTGCCTCTCGACAACATTTTTGACGTCTTTTTGATGACTGTCTGTCTGATTTGTCCATTAACACTCAAGAAGCGTTAGACTTCCCTCTAGAGACCTTGAGCTGAGTGTCCCCTCCGCCCTGTTACTACTTCAGCCTGTACGTTAAGTACTGATTCGTGGATTCATTTTCATGTCAAAACCTCCAGGTCTGTCAGTGCAAACTCTGGAACAAAGTGTATAACGAGTTGCTAGAGTCCAATGTAATATATGGAGGAGTGAGTACAGTTGCCCGCGTCTTCTATCAAAAGTAAGTGAAAGGACGACGACCGATCGACCGACCGACCGACTGACTGACCAACCGAATGAACGAACGAACAAATGACTGACCGCACGAACATACGAACGAACGAAAGAACGACTAACTGACCGACCGACTGATCGACCGACTGATCGAACGAACGAACGAACGAACGAACGAACGAACGAACGAACGAACGAACGAACGAACGAACGAACGAACAAACAAAACATGATTGAAAAGAGGGAAAAACAAGTGGATTAGCCAGGCGAACTAACAAATTGCACCTGAATGACTGGACGAACGGACTTATAAACCGGACAAATAAGAGGAAAACAACGGCTTTGTACCCTGCTTGTATTGTATAGCATGAAACAGAACTGCATGACACTCAGTCGTAATAACCGTGACGTATGCTTTTGTTATGATGGCGATGTTGACCCAAAGGTTTTTTTTCCTTTGCAGATATCTGATGCCGTTTGAGCATTATCTCAGAAGTCAAAAGAAAATTGGTAAGCCAAGTTTACTTTAGCTGCTTTTTTGGAACAATCTTTTGTTTCCTAAATTTTTTCGAATTTATGGCTTATTTCACATTTGAAAGTGATTATTTTGAAGGTATAGCAGCTGTGTTTTGAACGCAGTGAAAACTTTAGGAAATCTTGGCCAGTTGTATCTTTTGGGCGCTTAGCATCCTTTTTGTATCGCTTTTAATGGAACTTAAAACAAACGTCCCTTGTAGTTCCGATCCCAACCTGATTGTTTTTGTTTTGCGATTGTCGAGCGCAAGGTGCTCTTACCAATCACCACAAATTAAGATGTCATCTCTCTTTTGCGCGCTCAGCAGATGGTTGCATCTTTTCCCGCGTTTGGCAGTTGCTTGCATGTTTTCCCGCGCTTGGCAGCTGGTTGCGTGTTTTCCCACGCTTAGCAGCTGGTTGCGTTTTTTTTCCCGCGCTCTGCAGCTGGTTGCATGTTTTCCCGTGCTTGACAGCTGGTTGCATGTTTTCCCGCGCTTGGCAGCCGGCTGCATGTTTTCCTGCGCTTAGCAGCTTGTTGCATGTTCTCCCTTGATTGGTAACCGGTTGAATGTTTTTCCGCAATAGGCACTGGTTAGGGTACTGTATAATTTCGCTTCCTCCCCCCCCTCCCCGGTTATAACCAAACCCAAAATCCGTTGTAAGTTTAGGGCTTATAACCAGAATTCTATGGTATATGGAGTTCAAACAAAGCTATCAATGCCTTTACTAGTTTGACGTGCTTTAACATAACAGGAGCAAGTTTTCCTTTCGTTCATGGCTTGATGGTCTTTCTTTTCTTTATATCTCAAGACATTCATATTCTTCCGGATGATATTCCAAGGCGACCCGGCCGGCCGGTAGGCAAGAAACGGAAGAGTACTTCGAGCTCGTCAACCACTGATGAAGGTAAATTAAATAAGTTATAATAACCCGACCAAGCGGCAGCAGATCAATAACACTTATTTCACTAAATTGAAAACTTTTCTGATGACTTTTCGCTGAGTATAATGATTGGTTTAAAGGTAGTAAAAACACATCACGCATGCCCGAGCCGAACACAGTAAAGAGATTGTTTTCTTCCCCACCAATCAGGCTGAAATCTCATTTTGTGGCTCATTGCGATTCGACTTATACAATTTTGCCTCGCTTGACCGTATTTACTTGTCATTTAGTTTAGTGTTCTACCTTGACCAGCAAAAAGCCAAACATTGCAGCAGTCTCAATGGAAAGGCCAGCTTTGATGTGATTCATATCGCATACGACGATATCCATACCACTTTAATTTCAAAGTGAATGGAGGCAGACAACCGTTAGTGCATTAGTTCCAGAATATCGAAGGATCGACGTACGAAGTGAAAGCATTTTACTCTCAGTGCCTCTCGAGATGATGGGAAATAACTAGGACTAACTTGTATTGGACTACCATCCGTTCCCTTCCAATTGGGCTAACAATACTACGCTAGCTCTATCTGTGCTATATTTCTGTACTTGTCTTGAACGTGTTGTATCACACTTGTATTTGCTACTTTCTTCAGGTGAACAGACGGTGCCAGAAACAGTCAGCGAAATTCACCAAGAAAACGTAGATGTAACGAACGACATGGACAGATCCACAGATATCCACGACGGTAAGATATTAAAACTGTGATATTTTTACCTAATTTATGCTGTGCCAACCCTGCCACTTCGAAGAATCAGTGATAAATATCTATACATTCTTCATACCGCTGTATGGCCATAACGGCAACGAGGACGTACAGGCACAGCTCACGCGCGATATAAATGTTGGTTCAGTTTTGAGGAAGGCTAAGTTTTTGTTAAGCAATTTCTTGTGACAGACGTGACAACGTCATTCTGTTCTCGTTAACTCGAGTATTCCATTCGCAACAGATGAAATTATCGAGTTTTCTAATACTGCAAGCGTACTTTACAAATTCTGCGGCGTCATCCATCTTGTTTTTATTTCAGTGTTCCAGACATGCACACTACAGAACAGAGAGGGGGATCAAGTGCCGAGCTCGAACCCAGACTCTCCTCACCAGTCATTCGATGGCTGTTCCTTTGATAGTGACGGTAAGGTACTCGTTTACAACCCAAACCCCACCCCTACAAGGAGAACTTTTGCTACAATAATTGATCGTCATGTGACAATGGTTGTTTACCGTTTACTCAAAAATTCCGAAAATTTTGGTCAGAATGTTAATGGTAAGACAATTTTGGCTCGATCTACCGGGAAATTTTCGAAATGGAACGTCTTGAAAGGTAGTCCAAAATTTTCGAGTGGAAAATGTCCTTACCATGCCATTTGCAATTCTTCACCGCCATCTTGGAATTATGATCAGGTCAAAGTGGTCCTACAATCGTGGACAAAAGTCCTTGGGACACCTATGTAATTTAACGAATTATCTGTGTTTTACTACTGAAGTTTGAAAAAAGCACTGCTTTCCTTTTAAAAACGCGTTACTGTTCCCCCTCCCCACCCAATACAATGTTGAAAATCAGAAGAAATTGCAGGTAGTAGTTTTCAACATTGCATGGGGGGTGGGGGGCGAGGTTAGGCAGGTGAAGTTGTATTCGCGTCTGGCGTGTGCGCAAAAGCACCAAAAGTAAAAAATTTGTCCCAAGACTTTTGTCCATGATTGTAGTTTCTTTCAGTAAATTGGGGTTTTTTTGAGGAAATGATAAATTGCCATTTGCGCAAATTGTCGGCGAACCGGTTTCTCCGTGTAAATGGTAAACAACCAATATTTCTTCAAGATACGAACTGAGCAATTGTGGGGAGAGGATCTCTACTCAAATAAGTATAGTATCGAGAGCAGTAAATTAAATATAATTTACCCTAAACCTGTCATTACTTACAATTCATAAACAGATGACGACAGCGCGAGTTCCACTTGTGACGTGGCAGAGCAAGAACTTCAACAACTGGAGAGACTGCTGCTGTCATTAGAACCCTCACTCTACCCCCAGACAGGTCAGTACACTCACCCCACCCTGTGAAAAATTAAAGCTTTTTGTTGACTCCTTACTCCATCGCCGACTCGACTAAGCTTTGGCTGTGAGCGCTCCTTTATAGCTCCGATGAATACTTCGCGAACTCTGTTTCAATTTGTCAGTTTCGACTGAAGTACTGTAGAACCCTTCTTAAGCGGCCACCTCCCGAAATTATTGTCAGTAAAATACTGTAAATAAAAACCCCTATTAACCAGCCACCTCTATTAATAAGGGCTGCGGCCACCTTTTGGTCGTTCCGATGAGGGTTTTCGTCTGTTCTCACCCCTATTAAGCGATCAGCCAAAATTTAATACACGTAGTTTGGCTTTCAGTTTTGGAAAAAGCGATGACAAATACGGGTTTGAAAGAGACGACTGATTAAAAAATTCAAAAAAGGTTTATTATGATTGTTTTGACGTGATTCTATGTTCACTATTAAAGCTCTCAATCTGATGGCAAAAAAATATAACTTCAGTGGAGAGTGCTAGATTTTTTGTAATAAGAACAAGCACTAGTTGTTATCATATTTTTTGAATGCGTTGAGGCGTTCGGTACAAGACTAACAACAGTACTGAATACTGAGGGTGCTTTCATTCACACAAAGAACAACGTTTATTAGGTGTTGACTAATCGTACTTGTTGTTCTACTTTTAGAGAGTGACGGACTTGCAAAAAACAGGTAAAACGAGAATTTCTTTTACGGCTAAAAGCCTAGACTACGAGTAGTCCCTCTTTCGCTTAATCCGTCGTGCGTGACGCAAAAGAAAACCGCGAGAAAAAATGGCCGCGCGAGCTCCTGGGGGCGAAAAGCACGCGCGCGCACCCAGGGTTTCACGCGGCCTTTTTTTCTTCGCGGTTTATTTACCGTCTCGCTCGACGGACTGAGCGAAAGAGGGACTCCTCGTAGTCTACTAAAGCCCAAGCCCTCGTTTATAAGACCCCAGACAGCTCTCCATGTCATGGCTGCCCCACAACTCTCAGTCCTCTCTGTGGGGCAAGTTACTCATCATTATCACTTGCTCAATGGGCAAGGACCCAAATAAGCCGTCCGCCAACTAAATCATAATCAAAATATACTAAGACCTTCATTCGCACACCATCGGAGAAACAAATCACACATTTTGCCTTGTTCTTGAACTGGTGTACTGATGTCCTTTGGGTTTTAAACATATTAACGTTGTGTCTTTTTTGAACCACACAGAGCACAAGAAGTGAAGTCGTTTCCTCGCACAGAACATGTACATATAAACGCTGCGCATGAAGAAGTTGATGTTTTAAAAACTTTGGATGAAATAGCACGAATAGAAGGTATGGATGTTATCTTTCTTCTAAGGCCACGTCCACACTACGCCGGAGAAATTTGAAAACAGTGTTTTCTCTCTGAAAACGCATCCAATGTTTTCCGTCCACACTAAGCCGGAAAATTTGAAAACGGAACCATTACTGACCATTTTAGATTTGTGTTTGAGGAAAATTCGGACAGTGAAATTATATTATTATCGTGACGCCATCGTTTTCGAAAAGCTCCGTTTACAAAATGTCTCCGTCCACACTAAAACTCAAAGCCGGCGTTTTCAGATTCCTCCGGTTTGAGGAGCGTTTTCGAAAAGCGCCGTTTTCGTGACGGATTAGTGTGCACGGTAGGCCTAACCGGAGAAATAAAGCTGCGTTTTGAAATTCCTCCGGCGCTGTGGACGGGGGCTAAAACTGAATAGTCAAGTACTGTCAAAACCTCTGTTGCTTATTGTGAACCGCGGTGTGTGTGCTAGATTAAGTTGCCCAAGTTGTGGCTACTTATATCCCCTTCCGTCTGGCTTTCTTTTCAACGTCTGTTTCGGATTGCAGGAAAACAATCCATTTTATAGTTCTGTGCCTAGCGATGATGACTTTGAGCAGAAGAGAGGCTCGAGTTGACTTTTATGTAGGTCTGCCAACCCCGGGGAATGACTTGCTTACACTGCTTTTTTTCTCTTCTCGTTTACAGGAGCGATAGCTGACCTGAATGCGATTGTTTCATTAGACCTGGAACAGCTGTGAATTTGTAATATACTTATCTCAGACTTGTTCAATACTCCGTATTTTGTCAAAATATTTAACGCATTTGATGCGTTTTGCGAAGGATGTTCCAAAATGACTTTTCTCGTTGTCTTCGAATAGTTTTTAGAGTTCACATTAACCCTTGTAAAACCATTTAGCGGTAAAATGTAGTAAGACAAAATAATCTGCGTCAAGAGGGCATGAAGAGTGAGAGTTAATTCCCTATATAGGCCTTTAGTTCCAAGGTAAATCCTCGCAAGTTACTTTTAGATCACTCCCGGTTTCGAAAATTCCAGAGGGTTTAGAATTAGCCAATCACGTGGCGGGGATTTTGATCACGTGGACAGCCCAAGCGGCTTCACACGCATTTTCCTCCTCCGCGAAAATCCACGTAACGCACGTGGTAATATTATCCCCGGGAAGACTGGGTACCATGTCTAAAAATAACCTGAGAGGGAAGGCCTACATGGGGGATTAACTCTCTCACCCTTCATTGTCTGTTTTTGATGTTACTCAGAGATATTTGAGTTAGATTTTGAGGCAATGTGACGACACAGAATGATACGTGTGATTTGTGCCAGTTCCCTAACAGTATCTCGAAAAATAAGAGTAAGAGATCTTTCGGTTCACCGTCTCTCATAAGACCTCCTATTCCAAACAACTTTAATAACCTCCCGCCCCCTACGCTCTATTAAGACGCGATCTTTACAATTCGATGACAATTTATCGACCGGAGAACAATTATCCTGTGGTGATCATTTGTTATGGAGTTATCCTCCAATTTTCTTTACAAATATTATTAAACAGAACAAACACAGAACAGTGTCCTCGATGCGTGCTTGAAGTGCCTGGTTATAACATCTACAGGGTCGATCGAAGCAACAAGACTGGCGGCGGGATCTGTGCATACGTCTTGAATACCTATCGTACAGAACTAATGGGTGATATCTCTGACATTTCAACCACCGGTTTTCATCAGCTTTGGTTGAAAATACAGGTCAGGAATTTAAAGTCAATTATTATTTAAATCAACAATGATTTAGATAAACATATACAGGCAAAAACTAACGATAGATAAATCCGACGTTTCGGCGACATCTTGGCGCCATTGTCAAGGGAAACTA